GCCTCAGACAACAAAGTAGTAACCGGTCGATGTTGTATACCTGCTCTCATAACGTATGATATAATGGATATGTGGTTGTCTGATTCCGTATCATGTATTCACTCATGTGAAGACTTAACTAGGATAAAGATATATACCTACAATAAATTTCATTTACTGTTATTGATTTTCTGACATTTAATGCAATCGAGAAAGAGTAATCCCCTCATTGTTTAGATATTTCAACATTGTATAGTTTTTACTTGTGCCAATATTATCCAGACAATTGTAAACGATGCTGAAGGATTTCTTAATATTTTATGAATGCGATTAATTTTTGTTTTTCGGTGCGTTTAGTAAACTTTAAGTGGAGTCAGTCTGTTAACAGTCGGGACAACATGGATAATAATCCAGGCTGTTGCAGGTACCATGGGTAAAAACAGGAGGAGAGGGTGGGGTGGGCTTGGTGGCTATAACGAACAAATCCACTACTCATCTGTAACTGTCTGGTCCTGTCTGCAAATGGAATTGAGATAGTGGTAACATATTATTGCAAAGATGTCTTTAGTTTTTAACTACAGTTTTGTCATTGACACAGAATTCTGTGTTTGTTTGAAAAGTACGGTAAGATTTGTGTTGATTGCAGTTTTGCTGCTGGTATGTGACAGAATGGTACGGGCATATGATTATTGTCACTGAAAGTTGAGGTTCATCAATGAATTTTAGTGATGATGACAAATGTATCTGTAAATTAAATGTCCAATGCAATCCCCAGTTTGCCCCAGGGTTTTCAGATGAAAAATCGATTTTCATTTGAATGTGTTTCTGACGGGTGCCACCAGTGGAGCAGGGCACGCTCACCTTCTCACAAACACCTGGTGTCATCACTGTGATTTATAACGAGTGAGTGAGTTTAGTTTTACGCCGCACTCAGCAATATTCCAGCTATATGGCGGCGGTCTGTAAATAATCGAGTCTGGACCAGACAATCCAGTGATCAACAGCATGAACATCGATCTGCACAAATGGGATACGATGACATGTGTCAACCAAGTCAGCCAGCCTGACCACACGATCCCGTTAGTCGCCTCTTATGACAAGCATGGGTTGCTGAAGATCAATATTCTAACCCGGACCTTCACGGGTCACGAGGGGAATTAGATTTTTACCAGTGTCACGGGGCAATAAACACTGTGATGAAATGTAACAACATACCCTTGTCACATGGGTACACAATGACTAGATTTTCAGTTTTTGTGACAGCCGCGATGACAGAGAGTGTAAGTTCTAACCTCGGTTGTTTGTTGTTTTGTTGTAGGTGGTTTGTTGTTTTACCTGCACTCAGCTTTATGACGGCGGTCTATAAACAATCGCGTCTGGACCAGTCAATCTAATGATCAATAACATGAGCATTGATTTACGTGAACCATTTACGCGTGTACTAAATATATGACAAACCTAACCCTGGTCATACGAGATTTCAAAGGTATTAAAATGCATGCCCTACAATCACAGCATTTACATACGTTACACATGCTAGTAAACACATGAAAACAATGGCCAGATTTACACACCTGTGAAATACATGTAAATACAGAGCTGAGTGTTTGTATATTTTAACACCTCTTTAAACGTGTGTAAATCTGACAGCCAGATGTTACGTAGATTTCAAACGTTGTTCATATGGCCGACGGATGAAACGTAAATTCCCTAACGTTAGTAAATTTGGGTAATACAGACATTTTGTGTGGTGTTAAGGATATGGGTCTGTAATTCGAAGGATCAGTATGATCCAGACCAGGTCTTGGTATGGGAACAACAATTCCTTCAAGCCATGATGGTGGAAAGTGTCCAGATGTCCAGATTGCATCAAATATGAATAGAAGAGTTTCCAAACATGGCTCTGGTAAGTGTTTCAGGAGCTGATAATGGATGTTATCAGAACCTGTAGCAGTATCATGAGCTTGCCAAAGGGCGGCATGAAGCTCATGAACAGAAAACAATTCGTTGTAATCTTCCCCATTTTCTGAATTGAAATTAATAGCTTTCTTTTCCTGTTGCTTTTGATATTTTTGGAATTGAGGTTCATAATTTGAGGAGGAAAAATGTTTAGCCAAAGTATCACCAAGTTTGTTAGCAATATCCGATTTATTCGTCAATAGTTTGTCATCGTCTTTAATATGGTGAATGCTAGATTTAGAACCTTTGCCTTTGTTTTTCTGGATCATATTCCATACCTTAGTCATCGGCGTACGTGAATTGATTCTAGATACATAATTTTGCCAAGATTGGCGTTTACTTTGTTTAAAGGTACACCATGCTTTAGCATTTACGATTTTGAATTTGTTGAAATTATGGACCATATGATGGCGACGGAAATAATTTTCAGCCCTTTTCCTTGCCTTCCTAGCTTGTTTGCAGTTGTTGTTGAACCATGGTTTGCGTATGTGGGGAACCACAGAGGACTTCGGAATACACTCATCAGCTATCGTGGTTATTTCATCAGAAAAACATTTCATAGGATCAGGAACACCAATAAATATGTCAGGTTGAAGTTTGTCTCTAAACAATGTATAACGACCAATTTGCCTTTATAAAGTTCCATCGTGACGATGGAGCAACATCAGATGGGGTTACAGGTAGTAGAATGGTAGGGAAATGATCGCTACCACAGAGGTCATCATGAACTGCCTATTCAAATTCATTAAGCAGAGTTGGGTCTGCAAGTGACAAATCAAGTGAAGAGTATGTGCCGGTACCAGGATGTAAATATGTGTTAGAAGTATCATTCAAAATACATAAATCATTGGCGGACAGAAGTTCTTCCACAATCGTTCCCCTACTGCTTGTTTGCGTACTTCCCCAAAGAGGGATTATGTGCGTTCAGATCGCCCGTTATAATACAAGGCTTTGGAAGCTGGTCATAGAGTGTCTGAAGCTCATTTTGCTGAAGAGAATAGGATGGAGGAATGTAAAGAGAGCACAAGGTGAAAACAATATGCATGCCACAGCATGAAGAGGGGTATTGAGAGAGACCGGACTGTGAATTATGCCTTGTTTCACCAAGTAGTACCTCCAGTGGCCTTAGCACATGGAGGTGAAAGGAAATCATAAGAATCATATTGTCTGATTTTCAGTTGATCTGTCCTTTTTTAAGTATGTTTCCTGTAAGCAAAATGCCGATGGCTTCAGATCTTGTGATAATAATTGCAAATTGCTAAAATTGTTCCAAAGTCCTATGCAGTTCACTGGATTACTTGCTGATAACCGTTCATGGTGGTGTAACTGGTGAACGTGATGACCGCCTACTCCTTGGAGTAGAGACCTGAGGGCTGACCTCCATGTCTAAAGGTTCAAGTCGATTTTGAACCGTAGCAGGGGCTGAGGGAGAAGAAGGCACTTCCAAGGTTGGGAGGGCCCTGGCCCTTCTCAGCTGTTTCTTTTCTGTTTTTGTCAAGTGCACTGAGTTTTCTCTTGTAACATTGTCTGGTTCTGAGTGTTGTGTCAGTTGAACATCTGTTTGTGTTTCGGATACTGATGTGTCCGGTACAGAAGAAACTTGTTCCAGAATGATCTGATCATCATTCACCCAACTGATCTACGTTTGGCAATGAGTAGAAACTCTGGAAGGTTTGACAACAGGTATAGGAGGAGAGGAAACTACAGCTGAGTAAGAAGTAGAAGATGTCTGAGACTAACTAACGTTTTTGCATCATGGTATGAAACATTGTATATTTAATTTTCAGTATTTTTTATTCTCGTTCAAAGACAGGACATGATTTGGAAGAGGCTGCATGCTCCCCGTCACAGTTGACACATCTGAGTGATTCATTTGTACACTTGGAACTCTCATGAGTGGCACCGCAACGGTAGCAAACAGTATTCTTTGCATGACAAGACTTAGCGCCATGAATATACGCTTGTCACCAGAAAAATGATACCAGAAGTAGCGCCTCGCTAGACTTACAGGCCCTATTGCTTCCAAGAATGATGGTTCCATATTTCACTGAATAAACCTTTACCAGCAATGGCGTGCTGAGGAAAAGTGTTATCTTTACTGATGAAATGTCCAACACTTCACCAATCATGGTTAATTTTTGTTTGATAAGTGCGTGATGTCATGAAATATATAAAGGCTATCAGAATGCTTTGCTATAACGCATGTGAGAGCATGTACATTGTACGTGCGATGTGCTTGTGTGATATCTCATTTGGCAATAGATTCCCTAATTATCCATGGGCCGAGGGAGAAATTGAACAAAGGGATCGGAGGTATCTGAACATGGTGTTAATATATTTATACACACGTACTTCTCTTGACCTCCAGATAAACTGCATATTTATTTAAAATACGCAAACTACATTTGTAAATAGGTATAACGCATTCAACTTTGAGTTACTTTGCTTACATTTACGCATAAAAAAAACAAAAAAACAAATGAGAACCCGTCAGGATAACAATGGTGCAATTACAACATGTAGCTCTTGCGAACACGGATATGATCTTTCGTTACTTGTCAGAAAGCCTTTTGATCCCAAATGGTATAATTCGTTTCGTTGCTTACTTAACTTATGGTATACGCGATTTCGCTTCCTTTTCACCATTTCCAGTTTCCATGTGTACCACAATGGCAACCTCTAGCCAGGAGTGTTGACCATGCAGTGAACGAAAACCAGAAATTGTGTTTGAAACTGAACCAGCCTTGGTGTCCTATAAACACCACTAACCACCCTTCCTTCACCTGTGCATCCACGTACCGAGTTTTCATTACAGACTGAGCTGGCAATCTGTTTCAAACATGTCAATTTGCAAAACACTATTCTGCTTACTCATTACTCTTAATGAGTTCATATGGAAGGTGATGATAAAGGTGTCGTGATATAAACACAATGTTTCATGTAGTGGAAATATCTGTGATCATCTTATTGTCGTAACTCCGTTCGGGCGTCAGTGGGCCCTACAACAGTTACCTACTCATATTGCCTGTCCATGGGCATGCAAGCTCGGACTCTGTACTTACCTAGTCCGTCAAAGGTAGCAAAGTCGAGGAGTGAGGGTATGATTACACAATGCTGAGAAAGGTAACACAATGTTGTAATATATGGCTGTGCATTCTCCCTGTGATTGAGCATTTATGAAGGAGAAAAAACATGATGATATTTAATGTTAAAACATTTGACAAAATACATACTACTGGAATAAAGTGACTGTGCATTATTTGATGTTTGATTTTGTAATGCAATAAGATAATAACAGGATTTGTGGTGTTTTCCTTAATCACTAGTTAACTGTTGACTGGATAATATCAACATCTGTATGATTTGACACAAGGCATCGTGACCCGCTGATGAAAGTCAGTTCACACATTCAGTATTGTGTGACGTGTCCACCACTGGCGTTGATGCAGGCTTGACAACGACGGCGCATAGACGACACTAAGCTTGGAGAATGTTGTTCCTTGTCTGAACCAACGTTTGTCCCAATTCAGCTAACGTCAATGGTTGGTTCTGGGTTTGACCTAAACGTCGCTCGATTTCATCCCAAGCGTGCTCAATGGGGGACAGGTCATGGGAAAAGTTGTCCAGGGGAGTACCGGAATGTTCTGCTGTCTCTTCAAATCTGTCAAAACACGAACGACATGTGGACGGGAATGTTCTTGCTGAAGCGAGAAGTTACGTCTCTGTCCTTGAATGAACGGCTGCACATGATTCCCAATGATCTCATCCCTGCATCGCAGACCTGTCAGATTGTCATCGACAATGACAATTTTCGTCCGACAATGAGAAGTGATGCTTACCCATACCATAACGCTATCACCATCAAACTGTCGACGCGTCAGCATAACAAATTACCGTTCACCTCGGTGAGATTGAAGCAAAGTTGGACGTGTTGCAGGCCTTCGGGGCCGGATGTTGTGCTCCCTCAGTCGGTTCCGCATAGTCCTGGAACTGATTGGACATAAGTCAGGAATGGTCCGAGCAATCAAACTAGGAGACTGGAATCGATTCCTTAGATGGGTCAGCCGAATGTGCTTGCTGACGTGACGTCACGCGTGTACTGCCGGTCCGATGCAAATCTCTCGTGTTCCCATTATGTTGAAAACGTCTCCATAGAGACACCAAAATGTCTGGTCAAAATACTCACGCCGGCGAGACGCTGAATTTCTGTGAGCCGCGCCATGACATACGCGCTGTTTAGCCTGAAATTAAGGTACTTTCCACAACGGTTCTTCAATTTTCAACATCAGGTGTGCGAATTTCAAGTGTCAGAAAGCATGCAAAAAGAGAGTAAGTTAATTGTGCACAAATTGCACTAGCCACGCGCAATACGTGACATCAAATTGCATGCAAAACGCTTTGCTACATGTTTATTCAGGTTTCTTTTTATAACTTTTCAAATAACTTTTTATTTTATGCAATTTTTTTGTTATGCAGAGTTACTATTTTCCGTTAGTATATTACTATAACTTTGGAACATGGTGCATTGATACTATCTCTTAAAATTCTATACTATTATGTAGTCATTTATAACGCTGGCAAATGGCAAATGACAAACCGTTAATGGGTTGTGGAAACCCATCACAGTATGAAATATGTGACAATAATGACCAAGGACAAAGGAAATGTCACATAAAGCGACACATGCCAGATGGCAGCGACTGAGCGTTTAAGGAAGGTTGAACATGATAAGCAGGGTGTGACTCGCGATATGCATTAAGGATATGGATCGGGAAAAGCTGCTACTCCACAACGTTGGAGGCCAATACAACACCTGGTGAGGTGAGACAAGACACGCATCTTTCCAGCAATATATTGATTGTGTCTGCCATTTAATTTGTAAAGCGTAACAAGCAAGCAATTAATCATAAGCAGAGACCATATGGTCTCTGTCATAAGTAAAGAAAATGACATTTGGTTAAAGGATTTCCAGCTGTCAAAGTTAGGAGGTCATGGCGGTAACAATAGAATTGTGAGACTAATCTCACGACAACAAGGGTTGGTGGAAAGGAATAAGAAGTGGGACACCCAGGTAGGTATCAATAATTACATGAAATTAAACAAACTATCAGTTACACATACTTGAGTTGTCAGTCCAGGTTTGAAGAGGTCATTATGTCACGATGTCGCATTGGACATTCCCGATATACGCACAAATTATTAGTAAAAGGTGAGGATCCCCCGTTTGGTATCTCCTGTGATGAAGAAGTCACGGTTAAGCATTTTCTGCTCGATTGTGCTGATTTTTCCATCACATGGGTTACATATTTCAATGAGAAAACAGCCAGGAAACTTTTAAAAGATGTCAGTTTTAATTTGGTTATTGAGTTTTAACAGAAATAGTATTGTTTGAAACCATTGATAAATATGTTTTGTAAATAGGTAAATAGCATTCAATAACGACTGAAGCGATAGTGTAAATCCATCTGGGGTTCATGCAGGAAGAAAACCTACCGTAAGTTCCCATGGTCTACCTTCAGTTGTTGGCGATCTATAGCTTGTAGACCGCCTCCGTGGTGTAGTGGTTAGAGCGTCCGCCCGGAGAGCGGAAGGTCGAGGGTTCCATCCCCGACCGCGTCATACCAAAAGACGTTAAAATAGGGTACTTGTTGGCTCCTGTCTGGCGCTCGGCATTAATGGGTATAACAAGGACTTGTCGGCTCGGAGTCAGTATAATGTGTCTGAGTGGAGTATTCATGCTTCACTGCGGCATGGTATCTCAGTGGGCTAGCACTATAAAACCAGCTTCTGTCTGGGCTAGTACAAGCAGCCGCACATACACATACACTAGCATACACGTCGTCATATGAGCGAAATATTCTCAAGCACGACGTTAAACCCAATTTCACCTCACCTATAGCTTGTATTATATTGTATTGTTTGTATAGTTTTATAGTTTTCAATTTACATGCTCGCTTTACACACACACATATATCATACATGCATGCATGCATGCATGCATACATACATACATACATACATACATACATACATACATACATACATACATACATACATACATACATACATACATACATGCATGCATGCATGCATACATACATACATACATACATACATACATACATACATACATACATACATACATACATACATACATACATACATATGAATCAATGAAATTCTAGTTGTTTTTACTGTCCTTTGTTCTGGGGTTTATATTTTGAGTTCATGTGTTATGATTGTTTAACTTGTTATAGTCACGTTTATGGCGTAAATACTGCCGATGTGAGCAAACATCCAAAGTGGCTCATACTCACTCAAACCCGACAATGATGTATCTACTATTTCCGTAGGGGAAAAGCTACGACCTAAAAAGGTCTCTGAAGGGGCCCTGTACAACCCCAATATGTAAAATCAAGACAATATGTAAAAACTAACGCAATATGTAAACAATTAACGCCAAATATAAAAAAATATCTCTAACGCAATGTGTAAACACCTAACGCAAAATGTACAAAAAAAGGAAATAACGTAATTTGTAAAAGATTAACGGGATCTGTAAAATACAGCTATATTGTTGTTTATTGTTTTGGCGACTGAAATTCATTTTTTTAGAAACTTTACTTTATTGGGGTTTTTCAAAATAACTAAGCTATTGCAATATTTCTGACAAAATTAACCTCATTTCTAACTTAATTGATATCTGATCTTTTAGGTCGTTTAACATCAAAGTAAAGCCGATAATTGTTAATATACATGTATAGCGATAGTTCATATCATAATCTATATTCGGCACTATCCAAGGAAAACATTTTATTCTTCATAGTATATTTACATAAATGGTCATATGGGTTGTATTCATTATGTCCTATTCAAGGAGGTTTTACCTTTTGGCCTTTTTATTACCCCCCAACGTGCATGTAGCGCAAAGTTGGGGACATAAAATTACCCTCCGCATTGGGCACGGTAACCAAGGTTCAACTTGCAATTCTGCAGATACATGTCGATGTTTTTTGTATTTTGTTTCTTTTTCTTTTCATTGTTTGTGTTGAGAGACCAGTTTTTTTGTTTTTTTTAAGATCTGTCCTATTTAGTGGTGAATTAATACCAAAACATTTTCCTTTATGGAATAATGTATTAGTTACTTTTCCTGGTAGTGTGTATTTTAATCTCACCTAAAAATACACAAATGAAATGCAACGAATCTTGATAAAAAGGTTTGAGCCATCATAGGAATCACGAGACACTTGGGATTTATTTTTCAGAAACACTTTTAATGAATTTTAGAGAAAATATCATATTTATGATGATGTATTTACAAATATTATATTACTCCAAAATGAGAAAAATTACTGTTTAAGTATAAATGTGTCGCTTGACAGAAATATCTTTGATTTAGAAATGGTAAATCAATCTTGCAGTTTTAGGTATAATGGACATGCAAGATACATCGCAGTGATTCGGGTATTTCAATTCCAATCGTATCTGATTTCCTTCAATCAAGTCACAGGTAATATTGCTGCCAATGAAATCGAGTAATACCAGAGACATTTGAGATTGGATCCCGATGTTGATCGCTCAAATTTAATGAAATACAGTTATTGTATTTGATGCAATTTAAGTAATATGGAATATTGATATAAATGGGTAACATGACTTGTTGTTCAAGGTTTCAGAAAACTGAGTCCATCAAACATGCCAATGCCAAGATCAATGATACCTGCATAAAATTGCGAAATCACAAACCACGCCTAAGAAATTATAATCGTAATTCACAATTTAATCACATAGAGTGCCATTCGCTGTGCATTCTGTGACACCCCTTGAAATATTTGACGCAGTATCAAACATGCGTACAAAGGAACCAGTTATTCTATTGTTTATCTAAATGGAGACATCTCAGTGTAATTAACGTCTTCAATATCTCATTAACTCATTCACTCGCGGGATATATGGTGATCACCTGGTTCTCACGGTTGTATCAAGAATCTTATGATAGAGGTCAGAATCTTTGATATAAACGGAACAGTGACACAAGTTCACCCAAAAGAGATTCTACCCGGACCGAGTCCAGTGATATATCTTGGCTACTTTCCTGAAAATGAAGGGAAACACTACATGACTCCAAATCCACCTGATCAAATTAAGAGTAGAAGAGGTAGAATGGGCAAAGAGAGAGAGGTAGCACAGTTCAGGTCCACAGTGTGACAAGAAGGTTGTCTGGAGCAATGGGACAGTAAGACAGAAAGTTGCCGAGGACATTGTCCAGAACAATTGGAGAGAGAGAGAGAGAGAGAGAGAGAGAGAGAGAGAGAGAGAGAGAGAGAGAGAGAGAGAGAGAGAGAGAGAGAGAGAGAGAGAGAGAGAGAGAGAGAGAGAGAGAGAGAGAGAGAGAGAGAGAGAGAGAGAGAGAGAGAGAGAGAGTCATTTAATAAATGTACACATTTGAATAGCTTCTTTCATATTCTCAGTTGGTTTACTTGAAGTTGTTTCCCACCCGCCAATGAAGCTATTGCGGTTCAAGATGCATGCATCTAGGAACTATTCTAGTATTCCCTTAAACCGCCCATCGTTCATGTACATAGTCAAATCATAACTATTGGCGCTCTCTCCTAGATCAGTTGCTAGGTCCGAAGTCCAATCGTCAGAGCTACCACCTCGATGCCAAGTACCAATTGCAATTAATTCAAACCCCCATACACAATGAATTAAAATTGGATACATTACTACAACATGCATGTTATTTCTAACCAAATTAAGAAGGATTTATAAGTGGTTTTCTTTAAAAACCAAATTCGGTAATCACAGATTATCAATAACGGAATGGACAGTTTGAAGGAAAGGTCAAACCTTCTTGAATAAGACATAATGAATATAACCCAAAATACCATTTATAAAAAAAAGTTTGAAGAATAAAATTATTCCTTTAAAACTTTCGAAAATGGACTATAGGATCGATTAAAATATCTCTATAAACAAGTTAATAATATGTTTATCGACTATGTTTATATGTTTACTGAACGAGGTAACAGTTTGTAAAAAAATGTAATATGAAGTTTAATTTGTTAGAAACATTGTGACATCTTAGTTTTTGTAAATAAAGTCATTTTTTGCCAAATTTGTGAAAAAAATTGATTTCGATTGCCACCCCTAATATTCAAACCTAAAACTGGATTTTACATATTGCATTAATTTTTTAGATATTGCCCTGCAATACACGAC